GGTGGGGGGTGGGGTAGCATTAGTAAAGATAGATTTACCATGGCCATTTAAAAGGGATGCTTGCAAGGATGCTTGTGGCTTTTGCTTGTATGAAATCAAAATTTCAAAGACGACAATCTTATCCAAATTTGCTGCTGAAAGTAACGAATCGGATATGACCTGTAAATAAAATCATCACAGGTAATTTTCAGAAAACAAAATCAAATGCAGTTCAGTCCTCGCATTTATTTCCATGGAAGAAGAATCAAAGACCAAGGGTGTGCATAGCTCACACACAAAAATAAAACCTGTAGCAATGACATTTAGCACTTCAATAGGCAGCTCCTAAACTCATATCCATAGCCTAGTTAATTCCAAAAAACTGAACATGTGATCCTTAGATGCAAACCAAGGCACCATTCAAGAACTTTTTGCTTGCAAAAAAAAGAGTACTCCTTCAGACAATTGAAAGTACCACAGTAACTACTTACAGGCCCAACAAAACACCAACTACCTACATGGTCTAAACTTTGAAAGTTCATATCATGTAAGAAACAATAGAAAACTAAGAAAAGAAAAAATACTTAAATGAAAATATAACTCAAATATAACTCATATCCCAGTTGTGGACCTACATGTCAAAGAATTAGGTTTCAGAGCAGCTACACTTCCGTGAAAATGCGAGAAACAAGTTGTAAACATGTGTGTCTAAAAATCTTCTAAGTCATGGAAACCTGCAGACCCTTTTGAACGCCCTGAATTTATAATATCTTGCATTGTTTAAAGTCTCAGGGTTCCTATTGTGGCAAAAAACTAAGCCAATAAAAGGCGTGCCAGTTTAAAATATGAAACTCGTATTCCCACTTGCAGGCCTATACATCAAAGAATTAGGATTCAGAGCTCCTACAATTCAACAACTTCCAGTAACCCACTTACATGGAGCCCTGTTTGGAAGCCCATGATTTATCACCACCTTTTCAGTTTTCAAAGCAGTGCAAAAAGAACCCAGATAACCAATAATTGCACTCTTAGCCTAATTAAGAGACACAAAGAAATCCAAAAGGAAAAGAAGGTTTCAACCATAGCTCCTCGATTCCTATTTGAATCTACAAAAGCCAGCGGTTCAAATAACTGGCTGCAATAAATTACAAACCCATAAAACTCTATCCTACATAAGCTAATCCTAATCATCTATAATCTGTACATGCATGAACTGTGCTTTCAA